TCTTTTTACTCATTTGTTGGTTTAGTTGGGTTAATATGTTGGGTTGTTTTACCTATTGATTTGGAACATAGGTGCCATCACGACTTACAAATTTTAGTCGTGACAAATTTGGTATCAGAGCCCTAGGTTCATCGGTCTCCCAAGTACAAGAGCAATGTCTAGTAGAGTCTTGAGGATCGGTATGAAGACATCCATGTTTATCTTCGAGAGGCTATAGGACATATAGGAAATATTATGTCCTTTCATTCACTATCGTGCACACTTGACCTTGTAAAAATTCTAATCTTGATATCTCATTCTCTCTCAGATGGCGAGGAATTGTATATCGGCTAGTGGTGGCCAGGATCCTATTCCTGTTTCTGGGAACACTATCCGAGGTAGAGGTAGGGGACGAGCTTGAGGTCGGGGTAGGGGCCGCATTGCAGCACCTGTGGATGGTCAAGTACCAATAGCTACCTAGGGTCGTGATAGGACAATACCTCCTGATGCAGAGGTTATTCATGGGGATGTGCAAGATCGTGTCGAGGGGGATGGTCCAACTCTAGCTCCACCCAGTACTATTGTTCCCCAAGTGCTTCAAGATACCTTGGCTCGTATGTTAGGAATCCTAGAGGGGATGGCCCAGGCAGGAGCCTTGCCTGTCACTTCTGATGGCTCACAGACCCGTGTTGGAGGTCAAACTCCAGATCCGATAGTTGCTCCAGATTCTCAGACTCACAGGACTCAGCCAGCTGCCGCTGTAGCTCCTCATTTGGATATTATGGAGTTTCCAGATATGACATCACATTTGGTGAACAGGCCTTCTATGACCATTGATGAGCAAAAGATGTTTGGGAGGTTCAGACTAATGAATCCTCCTACTTATACTGGTGACTTAGCTGAGGATGCATATGAGTTTATAGTTAGTTGTCATGAGAGGTTGCATAATCTTAGATTAGTGGAGTCCCATGGAGTTGACTACACAGCGTTTCAGATGACCGACTCTGCTAAGCAGTGGTGGAGGGATTATATTAGTAGTAGGCCAGCTGGATCCCATCCACTATCCTGGACTCAGTTTACTCAGGTGTTTCTATCAAAATTTGTTCAACGCAGTGAGAGGGAGCGCAAGAGGGCCGAGTTTGAGGGTTTGCAGCAAAATGGTATGTCAGTTGCAGAGTATGAGGGTAAATTTCATGCCTTGGCTAGGCATGCTTCGATGATACTTCCCACAGAGGCTGAGAGAGTGAGGAGGTTTGTTAAGGGGTTGATTATTCCGATCCGTCTAGGAGTTTCTCAGGTTGCTGCTTCTGGTGTTTCATTCTAGAAAGTGGTAGATGCTGCTAAGGAGTTGGACATGATTCGGCATGAGGGATTTGAGGAGCGAGAGGGCAAGAGGACTTCTTATTCAGGTGATTATGGTGGTGCTCCACCTAGGAGTCGGGGTTACTTGGGCAGAGGTTGTCGCCCTCAGTCCAGCAGACCCATTCATGCTGCTATACCAGCATCTGAGGCTGGTTACGCTGGGCATAACTCTTCGAGCTCGGTGCATACTTCGCAGGGTTTATCTTCAAGACCTGTAGTTCGTGGAGGGCATTCTGGTCATTCAGGTTCCTCTCATCAGCCTGCGTCTCATAGGGGCTGCTTTGAGTATGGGGATATGGGATACTTTGTGAGAGACTGCCCTAGGACCAGACGTGGTGGCTTACATCAGGGTTCTCAGGCTTCGACTTCAAGGGCTGCACAACCTCCAGCTAGGGGTGGTGCACAGAATGGTAGAGGTGGTTCTCATTCAGGTAGAGGTGGTTCTCCTTCTGGTCGAGGTGGGGGTCGTGGAGGTTCACAATCTGATGGAGGTCGTTCTCACTGTTATGCTCTTCAGGGTAGGCCGGAGGCTGAGGCTTCAGATGCTGTTATCACATGTATTGTTCCGGTTTGTCATCGACCACCTACTGTATTATTTGATCCAGGCTCTACTTATTCTTATGTGTCCACGTATTTTGCTCCTAGTATGGATATATTATGTGAGTCTCTTTATTTGTCGATACGTGTTTCTACTCCTGTCGGGGATTCCATAGTTGTAGATCGAGTGTATCGATTATGTACTGTTACCTTGATGGGGTTTGACACTCATGCAGATTTAAAGGTCTTAAATATGATAGATTTTCATGTGATTCTCGGTATGGACTGGTTATCTTCTTACCACACAATTTTAAATTGTCAAGCCAGGACCATCACTTTAGCTATGCCTGGAAATCCTATAGTAGAATGGAGAGGTTCTCTTAGTCACATTTCTAAGGGTGTGATATCATTCCTTAAGGCTCATCAGTTGGTACAGAGAGGATTTTAAGCTTACTTGGCAGACATTCGAGATACTAGTGTTGAGACTCCTATGCTTGAGTCTATTCCAGTGGTGAGTGAATTTTCAGAGGTATTCCCGACCGATTTGCCAAGTCTTCCACCAGATCGTGATATTGATTTTTGTATTGATGTGGAGCCAGGCACTCGGCCTATTTCCATTCCTCCTTATCGTACGACACCGGCTGAATTGAAAGAGTTGAAGGAGCAGTTGCAGGATTTGTTGAGTATAGGTTTTATTAGACCAAGTGAATCTCCTTGGGGTGCTCTAGTGTTATTTGTAAAGAAGAAAGATTGATCTATGCGTATGTGTATTGACTATCGGCAGTTGAACAAGGTAACCATCAGAAATAAGTATCCGATGCCTCGTATTGATGATTTATTTGATCAGTTACAGGGTGCTTTAGTTTTCTCCAAAATTGACTTGAGATCTGGCTACCATCAGCTGAAGGTTAGGGCGGAGGATATTTCTAAGACGGCTTTTCAAACACGTTATGGTCATTACGAGTTTTTGGTGATGTCTTTCGGATTGACTAATGCCCCAGCAGCTTTTATGGACTTGATGAATGGAGTGTTCAGACCATATTTAGATTCCTTTGTTATTGTCTTCATAGATGATATATTGATATACCCACGTACTAAGGAGGAACATGAGCATCATTTGAGGATTGTTCTTGGGATTCCAAAGAAGAAGAAGCTTTATGCAAGGTTTTCAAAGTGTGAGTTTTGGCTTAGTTCGGTAGCATTCTTGGGACATGTAGTGTCCAAGGAGGGTATCATGGTGGATCCTAAGAAGATTGAGGCAGTTAGAGATTGGGTCAGACCTGCTTCAGTTACTGAGATTTGGAGTTTCTTGGGCCTTGCAGGTTATTATCGACGGTTTGTTGAGGGTTTCTCATCCATTGCATCTCCATTAACTAGACTGACACAGAAGGAGGTGACTTTTCAGTGGTTTGACGAATGTGAGGTTAGTTTCCAAAAGCTCAAGACTTTATTAACTACTGCTTCAATTTTGACCCTACCTGTGGAGGGAGAGGGTTTTGTTGTATATTGTGATGCTTCTTGGATTGGTCTTGGTTGTGTATTAATGCAGAAGGGAAAAGTTAAAGCTTATGCTTAGAGACAGTTGAAGGTTCATAAGAAGAATTATCCTATTCATGATTTAGAGTTGGCAGCTGTTGTGTTTGCATTGAAGATTTGGAGGCATTATCTTTATGGCGTGCATTGCGAGGTGTTCACGGATCATCGTAGTCTCCAATATATATTCAATCAGAGGGATCTAAATTTGAGGCAGTGGAGATGGTTGGAGTTGCTCAAGGACTACGATATGACTATTCTTTATCATCCAGGCAAGGCAAATGTTGTAGCAGATGCCTTGAGTCGGAAGGCGGTGAGTATGGGTAGTTTAGCCATGTTACAGGTTGGCGAGTGTCCTTTAGCTAGGGATTTCCAATCCTTGGCCAATAGTTTTGTGAGACATGATATTACAGAATCTGGTAAGGTGTTGGCTTATATGGAGGCTAGGTCATCCTTGTTGGAGCAGATTCGGGCTCAACAGTTTGATGATGGTGATTTATGTAAGATTAGGGACAAGGTGTTAAAAGGAGAAGCCAAGACTGCAATTCTTGATAGTGAAGGAGTTTTGAGAATTAAAGGTCGTATCTGTGTTCCTCGTACAAGTGATTTGACTAGATTAATCATGGAGGAGGCTCATAGTTTGAGGTACACTATTCATCCGGGGGCTACTAAGATGTATCGTGACTTGAAGAACACTATTTGTGGTGTCGTATGAAAAGGGACATAGTAGATTTTGTATCTTAATGTTTGAATTGTCAGCAAGTGAAGTATGAACACCAAAAGCCTGGAGGTATGACTCAGAGGATGCCCATACCTGAGTGGAAGTGGGAGCGCATTGCTATGGACTTTATGGTAGAGTTGCCACGTACCTTGGGTAAGTTTGATGCTATATGGGTCATCGTGGATCGACTGACTAAGTCTGCACACTTTGTACCAGTTCAGACTACCTATAACTTAGAGAAGTTAGCCAAGATCTATATTCGGGAGATAGTTCGGTTGCATGGGGTTCCTATATCTATTATTTCAGATCGTGGCACCCAATTTACATCTCATTTCTGGCGGTCTATGCAGAAAGAGTTGGGTACTCGGGTGGATCTTAGTACAGCCTTCCACCCTCAGACTGATGGTCAGTCTGAACGGACTAGTCAGGTTCTTAAGGACATGTTGCGAGCATGTGTGATTGACTTTATCAGTCACTGGGATCAATTCTTGACATTAGCGGAATTTGCTTACTATAATAGTTATCATTCGAGCATCGAGATGGCACCATTTGAGGCTCTGTATGGTAGGAGATGTCGATCTCCAATTGGCTGGTTTGATGCATTTGAGGTTAGACCATGGGGTACAGATTTGTTGAGGGAGTCTTTGGACAAGGTCAAGTTGATCCAAGATAGACTTCTCATGGCTCAAAGCAGGCAAAGGAGTTACGCAGATAGGAAGGTTCGTGATTTGGAGTTTATGGTTGGAGAGAGGGTTCTACTTAAGGTTTCACCCATGAAGGGTGTGATGAGATTTGGAAAGAAGGGCAAGTTGAGTCCAAGGTACATTGGTCCTTTCGAGATTGTGGAGCGTATTGGTGAGGTGGCATATCAGCTGGCTATGCCACCTGGGTTGTCAGGTGTCCATCCTGTATTTCATATATCAATGCTTAAGAAGTATCATCAGGGTGGTGATCATGTGATTCAATGGGATTCCGTGTTACCTTATCAAAATTTGACTTTTGAGGAAGAGCCGATCACTATTTTGGATAGGCAAATTCGGAAGCTGAGGTCCAAGGATATTGCTTCAGTAAAGGTTCAGTGGAAGCATCGTCCAGTGGAGGAGGCTACATGGGAGACAGAGTCAGACATGAGGAGTAAATATCCTTATCTCTTTGAGTGTTCAGGTTAGCTCTTTTCTTTCCCGTTCGAGGATGAACGTTTGTTTAAGTGGTAGGTGATGTAACGACCCGCTAGGTCATTTTGAGAACTAGGACTATTTCGACTCCTTTTGAAAATTAGAAGGGGTTATTTTTAAAATATTCGAAGACTAAAAGTATTTAGTTGATAAAATTTTTAGTGAAGAATTAATATAGTTACTAGTTAGTGGGTAATATCCATAATTCATTAATACCTTTTTACCTGACCCATTAATTGATTTAGGTTAGTGGGATTAGTTTATATATTTTGCTTAATCAACATTAGAAAGGCAGAAAATAAAAGGGGGTTAGAAAACTGCCTGGGCGGTGTGAATACAGAACGTTAGGAAACCAGCCAAAATCTTCAGGTAAGAAGCAATTTGGAGATTTTCTTTATTTTTATATGGATTAAAGAGAATGTAAGGTAGATATAAAGTTGATCCCTTATTCGTCTATTTATTATAATGAGGGGTTTGATAGGAAAATTGGCAGGGAACGATATATATAGTTTTTCTTCGTGGTTGTCAGTTGGAGTATGTTGTTTTTGTTCCTATTATTATTAGAAGTGTAGCTGCTGTATGTAATGAAGTTGAGGAAGAATATTTGGGTTATGGAATTTTATCAATGGGAAGGGAAACTTGTTTTGGTTGTCCCTGAGGTCACCACTGGTTTGTAACCAGTGGTTTCTCCTATCAATTTATATCAATGATTTATTATAGTATAGATTTAGTTATTAATATATTAGGTACTTAGATCTATAGATATTTCATTATATTTTATTGACTTGTATTATATTGGATGGAATACTATGAGATTTATGAATCTTGGTAAGGTTAGACTTAACCTATATTAAAAATTTAGGAATACGAGACTTGACACGTATAGTTAACACTAAGATTTATGAACTTGATTATAAATTTTGGTGCAAGGGATTAAAACAATGTGTGGGAAGTGAATGTTCTCGTCTGGTCGAAATTAAGAACTAAGAAATATTGTTTGGTGCTATATATGTTGGCAACTGGCATTAAAATTATTCCTTCTTAATGTTAATGGCGTTATTCAATTTTATAGAAAAGGAATTAAGGCCAAATGGGTGCACTTTAGGTTATTTACTATTAAGAAACAATGGAGGTGGGAAATCATGAGAAAATCATGAGCCAATCATTGGCAATCAGATTTATAAGCCAATCATTTGGCAAGTGCCAATGATTGGCATTTGTTATAAAATTTCTGGGAATTGGTAGTCTTTTTTTTTGTTTTACAGATTGTCACGTTGCCTGCCCATAGTGCAGATATAATATTGACCTGCTTCAGTCAAATATCGAATAATGATTTGAGTTAAATATATTGAGGTAGATAATTAAATATTATTTGTATAGTGTTGTATGAATACCATTAAAATTATGATTTTTTGGAGAGATTTAGATTCAAATTCTTGACTTGAAATTTAGCAAATATGATAATTTTGGCATATAAATTATATCAAGATTTGGAGCTTGATTAGAGATATGAGTGGGTTTTAGAGTCTACTAACTCATTTACTTACAAATATTGCACAATTGGTAGATCGAGAACGTTCCGAAGCTTTGCGAAAAGGAAAGGAAAAGTCTTGAACATTGGTGAAACAAGTTCGGCATTTAAGGTATGTTAAGACTTTTTAGACTTGTTGAAGGACGTTTTCCTAATTAAAGATTAAAAATAAAATAGACAAAGGGGTAAGGCGAAAGATAAGGGTCTCGTATCAATGGTGTGACAGGCATTGGTACGAGTACCAGTGTTTATAAATGGAAAGTTACTACTATAGAATGTGGATTGTAATTTGAGATTTTGCCAAAACATATGGGCATTAGATGATATATTATTGACTTGAAATTTTGTGTGATTGTGTTTTTTTTACACCCGTATATTTGTGAATATTGAGGTGGTTGTGTATTATGTCGATATTGATTGAGTGAGATGCATCATCATCCCCTTATTTTGAATTAATATTGTGTACATGCATTGACATGAGATTGAGTATAAGATGGGCACGTAGAGATCGTCCGTACTGGGGATGGTAAGATGTTAAGATTGTAATTTGGGCACGTGGAGACCGTCCGTGCGGAATTTGTTTGATATTATGATGGTGCGTTGAGATCATCCGCACAGACACGTGGAGATCGTCCGTGTCGGTATATGGACTTCGCGAGTCCCCCATGGGTCATGAGTTCTCGATGTATTTCTGAGGAGTATCATGTATATACGGTGAGTGAGTACGGGGTATTCTGAGCCGATTCATTTCATGGTATCATGTTGCATTGGATTTCATCACATCATTTATTTTTGATGATTATGTGTTTGTTTGATGTTTGGAAGGTATTTGATGTTTTATTACCTTTATTGATGAAACTAAAATAGTGAGTGTAATATATATATACTTATATAATTTAAGAATTTTTTTTTAAAATTCCCGTAACTACTTCTTTGTTGTCGGTCAATGAGACATACTGGGTACATGTGGTTTCATACTCATACTACACTTGTTGCACCCTTTGTGGTGCAGATTCGATTCCGAGTAGGAGAACATCTCGTGGAGCAAATTAAGTCCGAGCTTAAAGTTCTTGGAGTTGTGGTGAGCTGCTTGGCTGTTCCGTGGCCCACACCTCCCTCTATCTTTTATTTATTCTGTTATTAGTATTCAGACAGGATAACCCTTATGTTAGATTAGTGATTTAGTTTCAGACTTGCATCGAATTTTAGAAGCTCTTGTACTTAAGACACCAATTCTTGGGGTGATATATTTTTATCTTCCGCATTGCGTACTTATAAGGAACTCAATGTTTGGAGATTCTTGCTAAGTGTTACTCTTTTTACTCATTTGTTGGATTAGTTGAGTTAATATGTTGGGTTGGCTTACCTATTGGTTGGGAACATAGGTGTCATCACGACTTGCAAATTTGGGTCGTGACAATTGTGATGATCATTTTTGAGAAATCTCTTCACAATATCTTGGCATGGTTGCAAAACAGTATTCGTCCATGCTTCGTCGAGATTTTCTTCTCTATCTTCTTTGAAAATGTTCGTAGCAATAATATGATGCAGTGACCACATTTTCTCGCTAATTAATCGTTGAATCTTGTCAAGTTGGTTACAAATTAACATACGAGTATTTCGCTTGATACTTGAAATTGAAGCTTGAAGAATCATCCGCTTTGATTCATCATCTCCGTCTAAATTTGTTTCTTCCCTTAAATATTTGTCCATTTCAGGGACACCGATGGACCGTCGGATTCCTTTGGTGTAATCTGCATCTGCATCTGCAATGAAAATTTGTCGCACCTCATCTACTAGTCCTGCATGCAACACAAATTTAAAGAAGAGTTTTATTTAGAAGATCATACATTTGACAACCAAAAATATTATTAAGAAAATTATATAAGAAATTTTTTTAGATAGCTACATCATAGTATATCTTGATTGATACATAAAATAATTACCAAAATACCCGCTTTGACCATTTGATCAACCCTCATGTCAACTCTACAGTTCAAGACTGATTGCTCAACATCAATCCAAATAAAGCAACAATCATACTTATAATTGAACATGAACACAGGATCTTCCACAAGTTGTTCAATATACGAATTTGACCCTCCAACAATAATTGGAACACGTTGAGTCTTCAGTATTTTTTCTATATACACGATAGCTTGCAAACAAAAATCTTCCGGTGTGAAGTCTGAATCTGGTTCAATTTCACCTAAGAAAATGTGATAAAATTAACTTTCTCAGAATTGAAAGAAATAAATTTTTAATAGTAAAGTATATTTTTCACTAGAATCTATAATTACTACTATAAAATTATCAAGGTAGTCATTTGATATAAGTATTCTTGAGAATAAACATATATACCTAACAAATAGTGTCGTACACCTTGTTTCTCAGTGTGAGTAATCTTGTTTGTAACAATTTCAAGTCCCTTGTAAACTTGCATTTTATCCGAGTTGATTATTTCTCCTCGAAAATGGGTGGCAAGGTCAACAAAGAGACGAGATTTTCCCGTTCCTGTGGCCCCCATTATGAAGATCACTTTCTTCTTGTTGGACTCTTCATTGTTGATGAAAGTATACATTTTTCAACAAAAAAATAATAATAATTAGTTTAGAATAGTAAATTCAAAGTCAGAAATTAAAAAATCTTGTAAATATAAAGCTAGCAAGTAGAAACCTTGCTTGACGTGGAATATACTATCTAAAAATATAAAATTTTCTTGATGGTGGATGTCAAAAAAAAAATTACATTCAGCTTTTATAGTAAAATATTTTTGTGGACTTATTAATTGACATACCAATTTCATAATTACTAATATATTTTAGGATAAGAATGACTTTTTAAAATTTTATAGATATATCAACTTGAATTTTGGTAATTAAAATTAAATATATTTTAGGATAAAGTTATTAGTGTACGTTGTTAAGAGATCACATAGAGCTGGGCTTTTATGGTAATAATTTGATTTTTATAGACTTATTAATTAGTAAACCAAATTAAATATACATAAATTCATATCTTTTAGAATAAGAATAGTTCATTAAAAAATTAAGAGATATGTCACCTTAAATTTTGGCGATTAAGCTTAAATTATTTTAGGATAACGTTTCTAGATGTATATTGTTATGAGATCACAAGTAGTTACAAAAGGATTGTACAAAGAACTCAATAATATTTATGACGGAATATATTCAAGTGATAATGAGTCAAATCTTACACTATTCATCAACACATAATAAGTGTTAAGTCTAATTCCATATGAGGGAAGTGAACAATTATCGATAACTATTTCAATAACGAGTATTTATATTAACTTGTGCACCATATAATAATAGATAAGGACTTCATTGAATCAAGCTTCAATCACCGTTATAGAATTAGGTTGAATATATTCATTACCGATAGATTATAAATTTACTATGTTATCTTCTTTGTCTATGTAACATTTTTAAGTATTGAGTTAAGAATTCTATTCTTTAAAATCCTTTTAGAGTGGAATCTTCCCGAACATTTATGGTGATTTATTATTTTATCACTCTATTAGCTTGACATTATGAGTGATCTCATGTAATTGTGTACGTACGTATTTGTATTAATGTATATTAAACATAGAAGGCTTGGACTTGGACTTGGATCTGTCACGACCCAAAATGGGCCGGGAGTGGCACCCACACTTACCCTCCTATGTGAGCGAACCAATCAATATAAATCCAAACATTTCGAATATAATAACACAATATAATGTGGAAGACTTAAACTCATTAATGAAAATCAATTAAATAACTTCTAAAAACTCGACAACTATTATTATCCCCAAAATCTGGAAGTCATCATCACAAGAACATCTATCCTCTAATTACTAAGACTAAGAGTATCTAAGAAACTAAACATAAATAAAAAGCTAGTCCATGCCGGAACTTCAAGGCATCAAGACATGAAGAGAAAGATCTAGTCCAAGCTAGAAGCATTAGCTCACCCTGAAATTCGGTGTAATGAAGACTGGCTAGAGTTGCGGTTGAGTTGAAGATGACGGTACGTTTGCTGCACTCCACAAATAATAAAGAAAAACAATTACAAGTAGGGGTCAGTATAACCACAAGTACTGAGTAGATATCATCGGCCAACTCAAAATAGAAAACAATATATATCAAGTAGTAATATAAAATCAACTACATTACTCAACATGTAGCAACAACAAGTACTATAATCGTTATTAAGTACCACCAAGTTCACACATGAGGACTCAAGCCTCACTACCATACTCATTTGGGAATTAGGTTCATTAGATTGAGTATATTAACATCTTTCAAGATTCATCACCTTTATTCTTGTGTCGGTACGTGACACTCCGCTCCCCTACTACTACGTGTCGGAACGTGACACTCCGATCCCCTAGTTCTACGTGTCGGTTTGTGACACCCGATCCCCTAATTCTACGTGTCGGTTCGTGACACCCGATCCCCTAATTTTACATGTCGGTTCGTGACACCCGAACCCCTAATTCTACGTGTCGGTTCGTGACACCCGATCCCCTAATTCTACGTGTCAGTTCGTGACACCCGATCCCCTAATTCTACGTGTCGGTTTGTGACACACAATCCACTAATCTCATTACTTTAGTTCATCAAGCCTTCTTTTATACCAAGGCATCATCAATAACAAGGGGTTTTCAAGATTTGGGAGTCAATAACTTCATCATGCTTATTTCATCACAATTTTATAATCACATTCATGCAAGCATACAATTAAGCATATAGAAGACTTTACAATACAACCCAACACATATCATTCGCCATTAAGAGTTAAGTACGAATAGTATAAAAACCATAACCTACCTCCACCGAAGATTCATGATCAAGCAAGCAATTTCCTCAAGATCTTTGCTTTCCTCTTCCTTCCTCTCTCTCGAGATCGTTTCTCCCTCTCTTTCTGTTCTTTTCTTTTTCTTATTCAAACCCTCTTTCTTTTACCCTAATTAACATATAATTAAGTATGAAAGATGATGAATTTGACCCATTAATTAATTCAAGGTTATCTCTTTTAACCCTCAAGTAGTTAAATTATTAACATTAACCCACTAAATTTATAATTATAGCAGGAATAGTCCAAAACGCCCCCTTAAAACATTTAGAGAAATCCGACTCAGCCTGGGATTACGCAGTCTGTGACAGGCCGTCGTGCCTGCGATGGTCCGTCCTGCTGCTTCCGTCATGGAGTTCAGAGACTGAAATTTACTGAAGAGTCTGTGACGGCCCGTCATGCCTGTGACGGTCCGTTCTGTCACTTCGTCACGAAGTTCAGAGAGTCGATTTCAGTACCCAATTTTCAGAATTCTAAGTATTTTGGAACGAGACACCCTCGACGGTCCGTCGTGCCTACGACGGTCCGTCGTGGGGTCCCGTCAACCAAGACAACTTTTCTAGAATTAAAATCTGCTGCTCAAAACGACTAAACAGGTCGTTACAATAGATACCAATTTACCCATCGTTCTTCCCCAAACGATCACAAGAAGAAAAAAAAGGGCAAAATTGAGTACCTGAATCTGTAAACAGGTGTGGGTATCTTTCTCGCATATCAGCCTCCTTCTCCCAAGTGGACTCTTCAACGGGTCGATTCTTCCATTGAACTTTGATGGATGCAATCTCCCTTGATCTGAACTTGCGAATTTCTCTATCTAGAATGGCAATACGCTCCTCCTCGTGAGTCAAATTCCCATCAAGAAGAACTGAATCCCAACGAATGATGTAGTTTCCATCCTTATGGTATCTTTTCAACATAGACACATGAAATACCGGATGCACTCCGGACATTCCTGGTGGCAAGGCTAATTCATAAGCCACCTCCCCTACTCGCTTAAGTACTTCAAATGGTCCAATATACCTTGGTCTTAGCTTACCTCTTTTTCCAAACCGCATCACCCCTTTCATGGGCGAAACCTTCAGTAAGACTTGCTCACCCTCCATGAACTCCAAGTCTCTAACCTTTCGATCTGCATATTCCTTTTGCCTGCTTTGAGCCGCTAAAAGCTTTTCTTGAATAGATTTCACCTTCTCTAATGAATCCCTCAAGAGATCAGTACCCCAAGGTCTAACTTCAAATGCATCAAACCAACCAATGGGAGACCTACATCTTCTCCCATACAATGCCTCGAATGGATCCATATCAATACTTAAGTGATAGCTATTGTTGTATGAGAACTCTGCTAAGGGTAAGAAGTTATCCAATAGCCTCCAAATTCTATCACACATGCACGAAGCATATCCTCCAACACTTGAATTGTTCGCTCAGACTGACCATCGGTCTGAGGGTGAAATGCAGTACTAAGGTCCAACCTAGCACCTAATTCAGCATGCAATGTTCTCCAAAACTTAGAAGTAAACTGCGTACCTCTATCTTATATGATGGAGAGTGGAACTCCATGTAATCGAACAATTTCTGAGATGTAAATTTTGGCTAACTTCTCTGCATTATAAGTCACCTTGACCGGAATGAAATGAGCAGACTTAGTTAATATGTCCACAATTACCCAAATAGAGTCAAACATCCCCAATGTTCTTGGAAGACCAACCACGAAGTCCATTGCAATTCTCTCCCACTTCCGTTCAGGAATGGGCATTCTCTGAAGTGTTCCTCCGAGCCTCTGGTGTTCATACTTTACTTTCTGAAAATTTGGACATTTGGCAACAAAATCAACAATGTCGCGCTTCATTCTACTCCACCAAAAGTGTTGCTTTAGGTCACAGTACATCTTGGATGCACCAGGGTGTATAGAATATCCGGAACTATGAGCCTCTGTAAGAATAGTATGGATCAAATCATCAACATGGGGCACACATACCCTTCCCTTAATTCTAAAAACACCTTCCTCATCCATTATTACTTCTTTAGCCTCTCCTCGCAACACCATATCCCAAATTCGGCTTAGTTTCTCATCATCAAACTGTTTTCCCTTGATCTTGTCAAGAAAAGAAGATCTCGCCTCCACACTAGCCAAAAATCCTCTTTTCTCATTCACTTCTAACCTCATAGAGTTGTTAGCCAGAGTCTGAACCTCTCTAGCCAATGGACGTCTAGAAACTTGCAAGTGGACTAGACTTCCCATGCTCCCTACCTTTCTACTTAAGGCATCTACCACAACATTAGCCTTTCTCGGATGATACAAGATAGTGATATCGTAGTCCTTCAGTAGTTCCATCCATCTCCTCTGTCTCATATTCAAATCTTTTTGAGTAAAGACATACTGTAAGGCTACGATGATCTGTGTACACTTCACACTTAACCCCATATAGATAGTGCCTCCATTGCTTTAAGGCAAACACTAACGCAGCCAATTCCAAATCATGGGTCAGATAATTACGTTCGTGCACCTTTAATTGTCTTGAAGCATAAGCAATTA